GATTAAAACTCGGCAAAAATCAGCACACAAGGGACATACCTCAACGTAACAAAAACTATCTATGACAAACCCACAGACAACATAATACTGAATGGCGAAAATTTGAAAGCATTCCCTCAGAGAACTGGAACAAGACAAGGATGCCCATTCTCACCACTCCTCTTCAAAATAGTACTGGAAGTCCTAGCCAGAGCAATCAGACAAGAGAAGGAAATGAAGGGCATCCAAATCGATAAAGAGGAAGTCACACTATCACTGTTTGCTGACAATATGATCATTTACCTTGAAAACCCTAAAGACTTCTCCAGAAAGCTCCTAGAACTGATAAAAGAATTCAGCAAAGTTTCCAGATACAAGATTAATGTACACAAATCAGCAGCTCTTCTATACACTAACAGTGACCAAGGGGAGAATCAAATCAAGAACTCAACCCCTTTTACAATAGCTGCAAACAAACAAACAAACAAACAAAAAACTTAGGAATAACCTTAAAAAGGGGTTAAAAGACCTCTACAGGGAAAACTACAAAACACTGCTGAAAGAAATCATAGATGAAACAAACAAATGAAAACACATGTCATGCTCATGGATGGGTAGAATCAATATTGTGAAAATGACTATACTGCCAAATGCAATCTACAAATTCAGTGCAATCCCCATCAAAATATTACCATCATTCTTCACAAAATTAGCAAAAACAATTCTAAAATTCACACAGAACCAAAAGAGCCCACATAGCCAAAGCAAGACTAAGTAAAAAGAACAAATCTGGAGGCATCACACAACCTGATTTCAAACTATGCTATAAAGCCATAATCACCAAAACAGTGTGGTACTGGTATATATAGGCACATAGACCAATGGAACAGAACAAAGAACCCTGAAATAAACCCACTTACAGCCAATTAATCTTCAACAAAGCAAACAAAAACATCAAGTGGGGAAAGGACACCCTTTTCAACAAATGGTGGTGAAATAATTGGCTAGCCACAAGTAGAAGAATAAAACTGGATCCTCATCTCTCACCTTATAGAAAAATCAACTCAAGATGGATTAAGGACTTAAATCTAAGACCTGAAACTATAAAATTTCTAGAAGATAACACTGGAAAACACTTCTAAACATTGGTTTAGGCAAGTTTTTCATGACCAAGAACCCAAAAGCAAATGCAATAAAAACAACGATAAATAGTTGGAACTTAATTAAGCTAAAAAGCTTTTGCATGGCAAAATAGAGTAGAGTAAACAGACAATCCATAAACTGGGAGGAAATCTTCACAATCCATACATCCAACAAAGGACTAATATCCAGAACCTACAACAAACTCAAACAAATCAGTAAGAGAAAAACAAACAATTCCATCCAAAAGTAGGCTAAGAACATGAATAGACAATTTTAAAAAGATGATCTACAAATGGCCAACAGACATATGAAAAAAATGCTAACATCACTAATGATCAGGGAAATGCAAATCAAAGCCACATTGCAACATCATCTTACTCCTGCAAGAATGGCCATAATCAAAAAACCTTTAGTAAATGTTGGTGTGGATGCAGTGATCAGGGAACACTTCCACGCTGCTGGTGCGAATGTAAACTAGCACAGCCACTATGGAAAACAGTGTGGAGATTCCTTAAAGAACTAGAAGTTGAACTACCATTTGATCCAGCAATCCCACTACTGGGTATCTACTCAGAGGAAAAGAAGTTATTATATGAAAAAGATACTGGCAGACACATGTTTATAGCAGCACAATTCACAACTGCAAAATCGTGGAACCAACCCAAATGCCCATCAGTCAACAAGTGGATAAAGAAACTGTGGTATACATGTATATGATGAAATACTACTCAGCCATAAAAAGGAATAATAAACAGCATTTGCAGCCACCTGGGTGAGATTGGAGACTATTATTCTAAGTGAAGTAACTTAGGAATGGAGAACCAAACACTGTATATTCTCACTGATATGTGGGAGCTAAGCTATGAGGATGCAAAGGCATAAGAATGGTACAATGGACTGTGGGGACTTCGGGGTAACAGTGGGAGGGGGTGAGGGATAAAAGACTACAAATATGGTGCAGTGTATACTGCTCAGGTGATGGGTGCACCAGTATCTCACAAATCACCACTAAGGAAGTCACTTATGTAACCAAATAGCACTTGTACCTTAATAACTTACGGAAAAAAATAACAAATCTGGTTGCTTGCTAACATCTTTGGTTAAATAGAAGGAAGAGATTAAAAATTGCCAATCTGAGATAGTTGAGTGTAGTGATTAATGACAGGAATTTCAGTACTGAAGAGACTTTAGCTTGAGGCTTGGCTCTACATTTTTTCCTTAACCTGTGAAACCTTAGACAAGTGACTCAGCCTCATGTTTCTGATTTGTAATGTGGGAAAACACGGAATTACTTCATCTTCCTGTGAGAACTTGTTGAGATGTAAAGTAATTAGTTGACCTTGGCATCAAAAAAAAAGGCTCTTATTATTTTCAATGTTGTATTGTCCTTCCTACCCTTCCTAATTATCATAGGCAAACTTAAAATTGGTTGTTTTCTGTTAACGTTGGCTATATGGAAAAAAAAGCAATGTCCACTTAAGAAGAAAATCCCTGCCAAACAAATATCAAATTTGTTAAGACTTAAAAGCCTTTATAACAGATTTATTTCAATGTTTTTCCACATTTCTGATCCTTTCAGTTTTCTATTATTATATACTGCAACCAAGTGCCATATCTTACACTGTTTCAGACTGTGTACAAAAGCATTTAAAATGGGGTCCTTTAACATAAGATCCATTATTTTTTTTAATGTTAAAAAAGTGATTTTTCCTTAACCTTGTTAGAAGCACGCAGGGCTTACAATGACCACAGTTCTGTGATTGAGCATTGTTCAGAACAGCATCAAAGAGAGACTATCTAGTGGCAAAAGTGAACTGTCAACTGGAAGGCTAAAAGGCAAGTGTCAACTAGAATTGTTAACACACAAAATTAACCATCACAGAAAGTCACATTCTATTTTGCGCTAGCGTTCCCATTCCTAAAATCTCCTGTCTCCTACATCACACACATTTATCTCAATAACCTACAAAAATCCACTGGTTCCCTGAGGAAAAGGAAGATAACAGGGTATTATTATTCCCTGACCACTCTTATGAGATGTGCCTTAATGTGAATTTATCCTCGCCTTTTCTTACCACTCTAGTAATCCATTCCGCATTTTCAAATTCCCTGGGCCAACATAATAAAAGCAAAGCATGTACGAATATTTATGAAGACATGAAGAAAGAAAGGGAAGCTCGTGTCTTTTTAGTACCTGTTAAATAGATTCTCAGCCATATGTCTCCAAATGCTTCAATAAAAATGATATTTTCCTTTCATTAAAATGTTTATGTTTAAATTTTTTTTTTTTTTTTTTTTTTGAGACAAGGTCTCACTCTGCCACCCAGGCTGAAGTGCAGCAGCACAATCCCAGCTCACTGCATCCTCGGCTTCCCGGGTTCAAATGATCTTCCCACCCTAGCCTCCTGAGTAGCTGGGACTAGAGGTGTGCACCACCATGCCTGCCTGGTTTTTGTATTTTTTTTAGAGACGGGCTTTTGCCATGTTGCCCAGGTTGGTCTCGAACTCCTGAGCTCAAGCAGTCCTCTCACTTCGACCTCCCAAAGTGTTGGGATTAGAGGCATGAGCCCCTGTGCCTGGTTGTGTTTAAATTTTTTTTTTTTCCAGCTACTGATATCTAAAATAGCTGAGTGATGGGTAGAACTGTTCCCTTTGCCCAGGCATTTGTTACAGTTCATGTGCAGGCTGAAGACTGAACAAAAGACATGGGAGGCTGTGATGAGATGTAACCATGAAAGAGAACTGCTGAAAATAAATAAATAAATAAATAAAAAAGAAAGAGAACTGCTGCCAGGCAGTGAGGCACAAATGACATACCAAATGTAAAAACGTCAGGATTCCTGTGAACCTTTTTCCATTCACTCTCCCAGGTCTCTCCCACCTTCCCCTGCCCTGCGCTGTGCTGGGGGAAACTGGCCTTCCATGCGGCCTCTGGCTGTGTTCAGCCTGTGGGGGAGCAATGGTAAGAATTGGGAAGGAGAGAGAAGATCAAAGTCTTGCTCTTCACTTTGAGGCCTCTTCCCTGAGAGGTCACACTGGACCAGCTGTGTCCCTCAGCCCAGTTCCAGTTGTGGCCCTTGTTTCCTGACATCTAGGATGGCTGCTCCTCAGTGTTGCCAGCCCTGCTGTCCTGCGAGCCCGTGTAGTTGCCCCCTTCCCTGTCCATAATTTCTGAACAGTCCCTTTATCCAAAACTCTTGTTTTGTTTTTTTTTTCTATACAAGGTCTGGTCCTGTTGCCGAGGCTAGATGCAGTGGCACAATCTTGGCTCACTGCAACCTCCACCTCCCAGGTTCAAGTGATTCTTGTGCCCCAACCTCCCTGGTAGCCAGGATTATAGACGCCCTCCACCACACCTGACTAATGTTTTGTATTCTTAATAGAGACAGGGTTTTGCCACGTTAGCTAGGCTGATCTGAAACTCCTGGCCTCAAATTATCTGCCCGCCTTGGCTTCCCAAAGTGCTGGGATTATAGGTGTGAGCCATCACTCCAGCCAAAAACTCTTTTAAATACTGTTGCCTGCTGGTACCGACTAATAAGGTATTCAATATTCTCTATTTTCCTTTTTATGAAAAATTTGGTAAAAAAATATATAAATCCTTTAAGATATCTCTGAATGCTGAACAAATACTTTCTGATGTGTCTCAGAGTTCTTTAAGCACACATGTAATACTTTCCTTCATAAACCAAGAAGCAAGAAACAAAAAGCCAGGAGAAGAGTCGCATCCCACACACAGGCATCTGGGTCCAGGCAGCAAATTCATAACCAGCCCCTTGTCTTCACCCACTGGAAGCAACTCCAGCCCTGGGTAGTAGTTTCTGTTTCCTCAGTCCCCTGTGAGGCTTAAGAGACATTTAGGAACAGCCCAAACTTACTCTTGGTGTGGGGCTCCTGTTTTGGTCAGCAAGGTCAGCACAAAAAACATGAAAATCACGAAGACTGCAAGACCAACCCAAAATCCAATCACAATGGAATCTGCAAGACAGTGAATACGGGCATTAGTATTTCACAGTAGTTTAAAACTTGAACATTCAAGGAATCAGAACTTCTTGGAGAGGCTTTGACACATGAAACATGAAAGGAAATCAACAGTCTGATCCGCAGTTGACTGGAGGTTGATAAGAAGTAAAGAATGAGGGAGAGGGAAGAATCTGCTCTGCCTCCAGGTTTCTGTCTCAGGTAGCATGAAGGGATTTAGGCCTCACTGACTCATGGTTTCTGTATCTCAAGGAAGGAACCTAGGTCAGAGCATAAGTCATCTAGGGCCTCAAGATTCCACTAATGTGTTTTGAGTTAGAAAATAAAATTTTTAGCAGACTACCAACTCAAGTTTTAAGTGAATTTGGATTCACTTTAAAAGAAAAACTTTAGACAAATTAAATTTAACAGATATTAATTGTGCAAGGAAAACAAAATTATTGAACCAGGAAGTTCCCAGAATCAGAACAGATTCAGAGAGACTTCGGGTTGTTAAGATTTAGGGACAGAAAAAGGGAAATGATGTACAGAAAAAAGCAGCAAGGTATGGAAACAGCTGGATTTGAACACCGTTTGAACATCTGGCTGCCTGTGAGTGCCTGATGTGTAGCTGCTGTGATGAGCTGAGACTCAGCTATTGTTACAGAAGCATTCGCTAGATTTTCAGTTTGCTTACCTACTAAGCTAGGTTACAGCTCACACCTAAGAATATAAGTATGCAAATATGGAGGCCCTCATGGGCCAAATTTTAATTTAGCAACTCAATTAGGTGGCAACTTTGCATTCTCACTTATGTTCACCATGGAATAATTCAGGCTCTCATTACTTCTTGCAGAGAACATACAGATGGCCTCTTGAGTGCTCTCTCTGCCTTCTGCCTTTCCTTGTGTTTTATTTCTGTACAAAACTGCTTTATCACAGCCCTGATGATACTGCTCTTTCATGAAAAGCTCTTCAACAAAAATAGAACAGACCCACTTTTCCAGATGAAAAGAGATTCCACATGTAAAGCACTTTATACAATGTCAGACATCTGAGAAAATGGTACCCCACAGTTGCTGGCTACTGCCATTAGAATTGTCATTTTCTCCCAATTTACCTCACTTTAAAAGCCATCTGTTTCCAATCAAACTAGGGGACACTGTGTCCCTGTATGTACCTTAATCTTAGCCACAGTTTCCTCACAGCCACATTTTAGCAGGGCTATTGCCACTACCTGGCTGGAACAACTTTTCCCAATGTGGAGTTAATGAAAATGTTCCCATGCTTCCATGCCCATCCCCTAGAGTATCTTCTTTACGAAGCCTCAACCAATTTCCGTAATTGATGTGTTCTGTCCCTCCTCTGAACCCAATAACATTTTCGTCCACACTTCCCTAAACAGGCCTCTCCTTGGTCCTGTCTTGGATAGCAATCATGAGTCTTTATATCTGGGACCAAGATTAGATTGGATTGTCTACACAACTTGGCACATGCGCAGTAGGGTCTCAACTCTAGGACACAACAGAGTTGAATCATTCTACATTTTTTGGTCTATATTAAGAAGTTTATCTATGTGGAAATACAATGAGGATGCTTAGCAATTTTCTACAAATAAGTGATTGGAGCTTAAACATTAAATGTGTTTAAATGCAAAGCTGTATTGTAATTATGTATAGGTAGCACTTTTTCCAAAGTGAAGAAATCAGATTAACAATTTACTCTGCATAATTCATACTTGCATCCTACATATGCTATTGCCTAAGGTTAACAATGTGTATTCAGCACTCTCAAAAACTAATGTCTAATCTTAAGTGCCAAAGAAATAGAAATTGTATACTTTGCCTTTCAATGTAGTGGAAATGAGGCATAAAAAAGACATAAGGACAAATATCAAAAACCACATGCACTGAGGTACAACTAACACGAAACAATAAAGTCTCAATTATCTAGGTGGTGAATTGTGAAGAAACATTGTACAGATAAATAAGTTTCCTACACTGTACTTTATCAACCGCCTTCATAGCAAAAGCAAATTCTAAAATTATACATCAATGCTATTCTTAAGTCCTTGACTTAGAACTGAATCATGTTGATTGACATTTTCAAACCTGTTACTAGGAAGATGTTCTCCTAAGGACAGCTTTCAGACTGCAAATGATAGACTGACTCCCAGAGGTGCAGGAAATGGTGCCCTCGACTCAGCCCAGTCCCTTTCCTCTGCCCTTGTAAGTGCCCCAAGGGAGCTGATCAAAAAGCAGGAATAATGTGGAGGATGGGAAGGTTACAGCCTTCAGAGAAGCCAGGCGGTGGCAGCGTTGGGGAGAAGCAGGCTGTGGGTAGAATCCGAGAATTCTCATGATCCAACAGCATTTCCAAATATTTCCTTAATAATGCAGCATATATGTTTTCTGTGGCAATATGCTTTAAGTAGCTCTACTTATTCACATTCCCCTTTGAACAAAATTTAGCTTCCTTAAGTAATTTCCACTAATTTCCCCCAACCTCATCTTCTGCCCTATGACCCACCCCCAGAGGACTTTCGCACCCTGAACCTCTTATAAGAAACCTCAGAGATTCCCATCTCATCCCAGAAATATCCAAACTCTCTGCAGTTTTATTTAGATGTTAAGTTTCATGGGCATAGGTACAACAGTAAGATGGGAAAAGTGGAGCCCTTCATCTTCCCAAAAGCACCCTTTTCTGGGAAGAAGTCAGAATAAAGTTTTACATAGAGCGAAGCTGCAATGAGGCTAGATGGTTAAGAAAGTCAAAAGAAGCCTTCCAAAGGAGTTTCCACCACAGCCAAGCTACCACACTTTGTCTTGTCTAGACACTGAGCCACTTGCAGACTACTATTGTAAGGGGGCAGAACAATTGCCCGAGGGAATTGCAAACAGCATGTGTCATAATAAAGTAACTCCCCTCACCTGACCTTTAATAAATGGAATAGAACAGGAGAGCTGAAAGCTGACATGATTTTTTTTTTCCAGTTTAGGGTAGGACTAGAGTAACTACTTCATCCTACTTGCCCTTCTACCGACCTCTTGAGAATAAATGATGACCTTTACATTTCATGGTTATATGAAAAACAAGGGATAATACTCCACTTGAAAGAGAGGGTTCATGACACTGTCCTCACACCTTTTTGGTTCCTGAGGCAGTAGGGTCAACTCTGTGGTATGAATTCCTGGAAAAGCGCCAACAGTGATGTTCCCACACTTGTCTCTACTAACTTTCCCAGAGCTTTGCAAGCTCTAGCTGTTTCTCATCCTAATGACCTGGCTTTTTGCTGACTCATCCATGCATAGGCCTGGTATCTGCAACGTAGCACATGAAAAAGCATGGATTTGGCCATCACTGATACCTCAGATTAAGAGGATATTCCGTCAGGTTTTTCTTAACACAGTGGCCACTAAATGGTCCTGCTAAAATGTGATTGTCCACTGACTCTCACCTAGCCACGCCCTCCATAAATGACCCATTTCTCTCCTTCCCTTTTTAGGCAGACACTTGAGAGACTTGTCTGTACGTGCTGTCCCCAATTCCTCTCCTCTCATTTTTTCTTAAACCAATTCCATCAGCCTTTTACCCCAGCACTCCACTAGAACTGCTTTTCAAATCATTGCCAGTAACTTCTACATTAAAAATCCAATGGTCAAATCCCCATCCTCAATTAACTTGACCTAATAGCAGCATTTGTCACAGACTGTCTTGGCAATCCTTTAGTGGTGTCCAGAAAACCTCAACCGTCCAGTTTTCTTCCTACTTTCTGTATATTCCTCTCAGGAAACTAAGCTGCGCCGCAATCCTCCAACTTCTAAACACAAGCATGCCCAGGGCTCAGTTTTGGACTCTTCGGTTTTCTATACTCACTTACCCAGCCTCTTGGCTTTGAATGCGTACAATTCACATGCTGATGACTCTCAAATCTACAGCTTCCTCCACACTTCTCCTTTCTTGTCCTCCTGGATATGTGATAGGTGCCTCAATTTAACAGGTCCCAGATGGAGCTCCTGGGGTTTCTCTCTGAAACCTCCTTCTTTCATACTCTCCCCACTCTCAGTTAAAGGCAATTCTATCCTGCCAGTTACTCAGCTCACAAACCTTCAAATCATTCTTGATTCTTCTTTCTCCTACACACACTGCCAATCCAAATCTTGCCAGATTCATCTTTTAAAAATACCCAGAACGTATGCATTTCTCACCACTTTCACTCTCCCTACCTGGCTCCAAGCCACCATCGTCAGCTGCCTGGACCACGGCAAAGGCCTCCTGAAGGGTCTCTGCTTCTAATCACATGCCTTTCACTCATGTTTTACACGTCAGTTGCAGATCTGCTGAAACCTAAGCCAGATGCCACTCTTCTGCTCCAGATCCTCCAGTGACTTCTCAGGGAAAAAGGCCAAATGAAGCCTTTAGCATGACCTCTAAGGATGCCAGGTCCTTGTCCCCACAACCTCTTTGACTTCGTTTCCCGATGTTCTGCCTCTTATCACTCCCCTGGTGCCACGCTGGCCTCCTTGTTGTTTCTTGCATGATCCAGTTCGCTCCCGCCAAGGATCCTTTTCTGGAATGTTCTTCCCCCAGATATATTATAGCTCAATCTCTCACTTCCTTTAGGTCTTTTATCAAATCTCTCCTTCTCAATAAGGCTTTCCATGGCCACTCTATCCATACTGTCACCTCCACATTCCACATCCCTTTTCCCCACTCTATTTGTCCTTTTATATTGCCATCTGACATTATCTGTTTATTTATTGTCTCTCTTTCCCACTAGAATGCAAGTTCTATAGGAGGGAATATTTTTGTCTTTTCAGTTCACTGTTGTGTCTTCAGTGCTTAAAGCAGTACTGTACATAATAGGTGCTCAACAAATATATATTGAGTGAATGAATAAATAAATTTTCACTCTACTGGTGCCAAATTTGTATCAGATATATGTCCACTTCTGATATGTGATAAGGTTTAATATTGGATTCAAAACTGAGGGCAAAAGAATTCTCAAAGACCATCTGAAGTTGTTTCTCAGATTAAAGACCCTTTGAAGGAAGGAATCTTAATTTTAGTAGACAGAGAATTTTAGTTGAAAAATGGAGCTACTGTTGCCAAGTATGATCCATTACAAGTAAGGCAAATAAAGATAACTGTTATGGTCATTCCTGTCCTTAATGAGTGCTTCTCCTTGAAATGTCCTGCTTCTGCTCTTCTCAATCTGTACCTAATTAGCTTTGTATTTTGCCCAGCAAAACAAGCAGTCATACTTGAAGGACAGAATCATAGCATTTTTAAATGAAAGAGACTGTACCAAAGTACACATTCCAACAGTTCACTTGATCTTTTCATTTTCCTATATATCTGGGGTTTTGTGTTTGTTTGTTTTTTGTTATCAATGTATCTCATATATCCTCAGGTTCCTGAAGCTAAGGGCTTCTACTCAGCAGCTCTCTTAAACCAGAACAGTAACTACTCAGCCATTTGTTTTATCATCTTGATGTGAATATTAAAATTAACAGAAGCAATTGTTATTAATGGTATAGTAGGTAAAGTAATTAAGGAATGAGTCACACATCTGCCTATGTTTCTCAGGAAGTTTTCCAGCTATAATTATTTCCAAATGTAATATCCTCAAAAAAGATCTTACTCAACTGTATCTGGAAATGTATCATCCCAAACTATAGCAGCAGCTCTGTCTTCTGTGCCCCTCAAACTAAAGAAAAAAGACAGGAGCAAAGTGACACAAAAATGAAGTTGATGTCACCAAGCTGTAAAAGCCCACATTACAAGAAAATACATGGCAATTTGCCCGGTCATTTTGATTCCCACTATAATTCAGAACAAGCAAGTGTCCTTTCATAAAGTTTACCTCAGAAAAACAACAGATTAAAGAATTTAAGTAAATTAAGGAGGGTGATTTCACACCCAACAGCCTTCTATCAGATAATCAGTGACAGCATACCTTAATGAATGCCATGTGTTATTTTTCCACAAGGAAATGCTAAGCAGGTGTCAATAAAGGAACGAGTGAAAGTATTTAATTATTACTACTCACTTAAGAAGTAAAGGACATATGGTTTAGTTAACGATTTTTCCTAAGGGAATAAAAATAGAAAGCCCTTGTTGCAAAAGAGCACCAAGTTGGTGCAAGAGATCATGAATGCCAAGATAGGTCAGGGTAGAAGCAGCCAGGAAATAATTACAGAACAAAAGCATTTTCTTTGCTACACTTGTGTCTCTGATTCTAAGCTCTCTTATATTTCCTAATGTGTCTTACTAACCTGGAGCAGTTAAGAACGTAAAAATTTTACAGTGGATAATTCACTCTGACAAAAGAGAACATTTCAGGGATATTTACTGTGTTACCAAGACATAACCTGAGACTGGGCAGCAATTCCTGCGTACTATGTTAACAGTTAACTCTACTTAATGAAGCAAGGATGCTTCACGCCGGCGAGTCGGCATTCAGTTATGACTGGAGTTGAATAGCAACGTTTCACAGAATCACATTTCCTTGCTGGACCTGTAATCACTCCAATAGCAGGAAACACAATTCATGCCTAGAACACAGTGTTAGAAATGATCGCAGGCTATTCTGGTCCGTCATTATGAACACACATGGACACATTGCTCTCTCCAGCTCCAGAAAAACAACTGGGATGAAAAGATGCTGCTGTGTTACAAAAGAAGGTTCTTCAAATAACAGTTCTAGATCCTATTTTTATAAATATTTTTGATAGTTCAAACATTCACAGTTTGGAGGAGCAACAATATTTCATCCTTTTCTTTAAATCTCAATCTCAGATTGACACTGATTCATGTTTCCCTACCAAGGGAATATTTTAAGTCCTTCACATTAGAATCACCAAGGCCCTCCTGTACCATTCCTGAGCAATCAGCCTATGTGTGGAGGTGAGATGTTTTGTGGGATTTGGGAGGTAGAGGACAGAGAGTTCTGTAAGAAGAAAGAATGTTCAGGAGAAGTAATCATTGGGGATTTCACAGGTTAAGACAAATACAATTATGCTTACAATGAGGAATTGTATAAAACTTACATTTATGAGCCTTGAGTCCTTCAAAGGAAACTGGTCCAATCTCATAATATTCATATTCCCAGGTGTAATCAGAATTAGATGCCAATTGCTGGGAGGTTCTGTTAGAAATTAACCTCTGGGCAGACATCTCCAACCTGTACACATGGAGAAAGTCAAGAGCAGAGCGTGTTAATTCATTCAGAACTTCACAGTTACCTTACTCTTGATCACATTCAGGAGTCTGGCAGCAAAGCCCTTGAGGAATTCTTACCCCCTAAGCCAGGAGAGGTTCTTTTTTTTTTTTTTTTTGAGGCGGAGTTTCGCTCTTGTTGCCCAGGCTGGAGTGCAATGGCGCGATCTCGGCTCACCGCAACCTCCGCCTCCTGGGTTCAGGCAATTCTCCTGCCTCAGCCTCCTGAGTAGCTGGGATTACAGGCACGCGCCACCATGCCCAGCTGATTTTTTGTATTTTTAGTAGAGACGGGGTTTCACCATGTTGACCAGGATGGTCTCGATCTCTTGACCTCGTGATCCACCCGCCTCGGCCTCCCAAAGTGCTGGGATTACAGGCTTGAGCCACTGCGCCCGGCCAGGAGAGGTTCTTAACAGCTGCCCATACCTCATACTATGTGGCCACTATTTCCTTTTATCTCTCCACTAGACTAGAATAAATATATTTAAAATCAGACACTGTAATTTTTTTTAAACTTAACCGAATGCCTGGCACATAACCAATGTTCAATGACTGATGAAGGAAAGAAGGAAAGGAGGAAAAGAGTATGTCAAGATCTCTGGGCTTACAGCACCTATACCTGTATGAGCACGTAAAGAACCTGCAGAGACTACATCAAATTAGTATCAGATATGAACTAGCTCAGTATGTATCTACTGAACACCTACTATGCAACAATGGAGAGAAGCAACCTAAGGTTTTGTTTGCTTTTCTTGCTTCCAGTGGGGTTGGAGGAAACTAAGTTTAATAAAATGGAGTGAATAAAGAGAAACAGACAGCAAAAGTTGCATAATGGATCTTGCAGAAGATCATCAATAGAAGTCCACAACTTGCCTAACTGTTTACTCTTCAAATTTGTCATATTTTCAGGATTTCCCAAGTATCTTTGTTAATTGTGATTATTTTAGACCAAAAGAATCCTGATTTATTTGGAAGATGGTTGCACTGTGCAGCATGGATGCCGAAGTGATGTCAGTGCAGCCTGTGTTCAATAACTGTGTCTGAGCACCTACTGTGTGCAAGACACTGCATACTGTGGAGTGAGCAGAGATGCCTGAGACAGATCAGTACCCCACAGATCTTTCCTTATACTGCAGAAAGGGAGACAAAGTGACAAACAGCAGTAACATAAGGGGAAATGTGATGAAATATCAGTGGAAAGCAAGATTCACTGAGCAGTCACCACCATTGGGCCCCGCCTCAAGAGCTTTCTGAGGTTTCTTTTCCCACAGTCTCCCTCCCAACCGCCTCCAGGGCACAACCCTCAGGCAAGCTGAGGCAAAATCACCACCACCCTTCTGCCTCACTTCTATAACACCCTCACCTTTCCCTCACCCCTTCTTTCCTATCCCCAGACCTGGACTCCATAGAAAAAGACTCTAACCCCACATCATCATGCTGTCCAAAGGATGGGGTGCTCTGGTCCACAGATGCATGCCAGTATCAAGAATTAGGGTGTGACTTTGAAGGCCCAACCAGACAAGTCATTCCTCCAAAGGTAGACAAGAATATGTCAATTTTATTTGGGAAAGAAAACTACACAAATTATAAGAAAAGCTGCTCTTTACTTGAAATAAGTAAAGAGAGCTTTTTCAGTTGCCTCTTTTCTTTTTTTGTTTTTTTTGAGGTGGAATCTCACTCTGTTGCCCAGGTTGGAGTGCACTGGTGTGATCTTGGCACACCACAACATTTGACTCCTGGGTTCAAGTGATTCTCCTGCCTCAGTCTCCCGAGTAGCTGGGATTACAGGTGCACACCATCAAGCCCAACTAATTTTTGTATTTTTAGCAGAGACGAGGTTTCACCATGTTGGACAGACTGGTCTCGAGCTCCTGACCTGAGGTGATCCACTCTCCTTGGCCTTCCAAAGTGCAGAGATTACAGGCGTGAACCGCTGTTCCCGGCTTCAGTTGTCTTTCTAACGCCAGCCTAAAAATAACATAAAACTATTACCACAGTACCATCTTTGGTCCTTTAATTATTTCAGCAAAAGGTTATTTTTCTCAATGATGAAATAATTTTTCTCAGGAAATAAAAATTAATAACTCAAACCTAAAAAGCACTATTCTCATTTATGAGCACTTCCTCCAGGAACAAATAATTGTGAGAGGAAAAGAAAAGAATAGCTCTTCAGTTGTAGGGTTCAGATATAATGTTAGATTGGGATTAACATAATTTCCACTTGAGAATGTTAAGAACTGCATACTATATAGGAAAACCCACTGGATTGAAGTTAGAAGACCAAGGTCATTATCTCTGCTTACCTCTATTTATTATGTTGCCAGGCAAGACAATCTCTCTCAGCCACACTTCCCTCATTTGCAAAACTAATCATCATGACTACCTGAGCATTTTTTCATGAAATAGTTCTCACTATGGTCCCTAACGGACACCATCATCACCTGCCTGGCTTATTCTTCAGGCCTCCTAACTGCTGCTTTTCTGCTTCCAGGTCCTGGGGTGCTTTCTCCACATTGCCGTTTTTTTTTTTTTTTTTTTTTTTTTAAGACAGAGTCTCACTCTGTTGTCCAGGCTGGAGTGCAGTGGCATAATCACGGCTCACCGAAGGCTTGATCTCGCCATGTAGTTGAGACTATAGACACAAGCCAGCACACTCATCTAATTTTTTTCTGTTTTTTATGGAGACAGGGTCTCCCTATGTTGCCCAAACTGGTCTCGAACTCTTGGACTCAAGCAATGCCCCTGCCTCAGCCTCCAGAGTGTTGAGATTATAGTTGTGAGCCATTGTCCCTAGCCTAATAATCTTTTAAAAAGACAGAGTGCACTTGTCATTACTTAGCTTTACACATTTAATGGCTTCCCATTGTAAGGAAAAAGTCCAAAATTCAAAATGTCCTACCTACAAAGTTATGAATTGGACCACAATGTCTCCTCTTATCCTAAGCCATTCTGCCTCATACCCTAACAAACTGCAATGCATTGATTGCAGTTCCTCAAATATTTCATGCTGTCTGCCACCTGCACACAGGCTGATGAGTGTTCTTCCTACCATCCTCATTCTAACCCATTCCTCCTTCCCTGCATCCTCTCATCATCTGGATCAGAGGCTGGCAAATCCAGCTCACCACCTCTGTTACTGTACAGCCTGTGAGGGAAGAACATATTTTACAGTTTTAAATGGTTGAAAAAATCAAAATAATATTCTATGATTAAGAAAATTATGTGAAATTCAAATATCAGTAGTCCAAAAAATTTGATTAGAACACAGCCACCCATTTGCTTTTGTATCTTCTATGGCTTCTTTGGCACTACAGCAGCAAAGCTGAGTAACAATGATAGATATGGTACAGCCCAAAAAGCCTAAAATATTTACTTTCTGGTCTTTTATAGAAAAAGTTTGTCAATCCCTGCTCTAAACCATGAAAACAAAAATCTGAGGTTCAGTTTTCCCACTAGTAACATGAGATGATCACGGTACCCACTTCCTAGAGTTGCTATGAAGATTAAATGCAACATTGCATGAATATTAAGATAAATATTACCAGGCAGTACAACTATTGTTAGTTAGAAATGCTGATCTTGAATAGGAAAACCTAGATTTGTTCTTCAGACACACTCAACTCCCTGGTCAGCCAATTCCTATCAAATGTACCAAGTGTTAATTGATTGATTCAAGCAATCTACCTAACTCAGCCTCCAGAGTGTTGGGGTTACAACTACAACTGTGAGCCATGGTGCCTAGACAAATAAAACTATAACAAAAAATTACTTAAAGGCATTCATTTAGATCATTTAAAAGTTAAAATGATCAGGCCAGGCGCAGTGGCTCACGCCTGGAATCCCAGCACTTTGGGAGGCCGAGGTAGGCAGATCACCTGAGGTCAGGAGTTCAAGACCAGCCTAACCAACATGGAGAAGCCCTGTGTCTACATAAAATACAAAATTAGCTGGGTGTGGTGGTGCATGCCTGTAATCCCAGTTACTCGGGAGACTGATGCAGGTGAATTGCCTGAATCCAGGAGGCGGAGGTTATGGTGAGCCAAGATTGCACCATTGCACTCCAGCCTGAGCAATAAGAGCGAAACTTCACCTCAAAAAAAAGGAAAGAAAAGTTAAAATGACAAACATTTACATCCTGGGATTCATGCTGTTCTACCAACTCAAAAATAAGATAAGAATCTTTCTCCTCTTTTTTTTTTAATTAAGGAAAATAAGATGAAGTCTGGTTTAATCATATCATTTCAAGTAGAAATCAACATTACAGCCACTGTAATAGCAGAGCAGAGGGAGGCACTAAACTTCATCAGGAACAGAAAAATAGTGAAAAGTACTTAAAGGAATGAAGAAAATAAAGACGGAGAGTGTTGTCTATTCAGCACACCACAAAACCAGAGCTGTTCTCCCACAGCCACGCAGTTCTCAATGTCAGCACACAGTGGGGACCCTCATCTGTGGCTGCGAGGGTCACAGGACCAGTAGGTCCTCCTGCTACTCTCCCAGTCAGAAAGCAGCAGTAACACCACCAGCCTCATGGGGCTGGTAGGAACTAGTCAATAAAATATGTCTGTATAACAGTCAGCTGTCAGGAATGTCAACCACCTCCCCTACAATAGAGACGTGCCTTTTTTCTCCCCCTTACATTATTCCCTTTCATCTAAACAAACTAGGGATGGATTTAAAAAGGGCATTACCAAAGGGTAATGAAGGTTACACGCGCAGAAGTCCTGAAGATGGTAAGAGAGGAGCAAATCCTGACAAACACTGGGAGACTAGAGTGAGTGAATACCAGAGCCAGCCTAAGGGAGGCTCTCTGGAGGTGCAGAATGAAAGGTGACACCAGCTCTTCCCAAGCAGCCACCAGTTGCCAGAGTAGCCTTCAAACAAAAGGAGGGGCTTTTGTTTCCATTGGCTCTTTTCTCTCACTTATTGAATCCCAAAGATAGGTTTGGAGGGCAGAACCTC